AAGGTACATGCCCTTGACCAGAGTTGAACCTGGGACCCTTCAGTTGGCAGACCGACACTCTATCTACTGAGCCAAACCTGCTAGGGCTTGACCTGGTGTTTTTAGAACTGGCATTGGGTTAATTTTTGGAAAGAAAACAGAAAGGAAGAAATGGGACTATGGAAGGAGAGAGCTTCCACATGATGTTCAAGGAACCATGCACTGGCCAGGAGTTCGCAGGGATACACTTGGGAGCATCTCCTCAGAGGGCTCCATCTACAGCCATCCCACTCTGAGTTCAAAATCATTGACCTTTAATTTCTTCAACTTCTAAATTTCTTTGCCAATGGTTGGAAGACAAAGAATATTGCTGTAAATACTTTGCATATATTAATTCATTCAATCCGAATATGACTTGTAATGATCCTCATTTTCTATCAGAGGACACTGAGGCACAGGAACACTAAGTATTAATAGCTCATTCACTGTCAAACACCGAGGCAGGGTGGGGGTAAGATCTTGAGAAGGTAGTAACTGCTAAGATAAAAGCAGAATGGGCACACACCATTAACTCTCTTTAGCTTGTGCCTCCTCCAAACAAAACTAAACATATCTTTAATCTAAGGAAGATTTGATTTAAGATAGTGCAATGCAAACTTTCCACCAAACTGCCACTCTCAAGTTCCTCTGTGTAGAAATTTTAGAATCCCCACCATCATTCCCTAGCCTGACCTAAGTTCACTCTCATTGGATGCTTGAATCCAGAAGGTATTACACCTGTGCCCACTGTTATATTTCAGAATGTGAATTTCCACTATATGCTTATATACCTATCTTTCTGAAAGGATGAAAAACTATCCCATTCTACTCTGCATCCCTAACAAATGGCACACAATCTGGGACATGATAAGTGCGCAATACTTGTTTGTTAAGAACTTGACTTTGAAAACCACCACTACCCAAATGAGCTGGTAAGTTTTTTATTTGTGAAGAAATGTGACCAGGTTCGTTTTTAACTGCCACAAATATGAAGTCAGGCTGAAAAAGATGTAGGCTGAAATCTAGAATCAGAAGGCAATAGTGCTGCTGGCTTAGTCTCTGCCCCACACTTCCCCCTTTATCTCTAGAAAGTGGCTGCAGCCTGTAACATTCATGTTTCTTCTGCCAGAGACTCCCTCTGCTGCTCCAGCAAAGCCATGACCTAAATCAGAAAAGTGCTAGACACAGTTAAGGATGAACAGACCACACTCTAGCTGTTCTGTCCACACTAATTGGGAACTTAGCACACATTGGAGAACAGTTATTTTTTTAAGTGTCAACAATAATTATAAATAAGCAAAGAGGTTTGCCTAGTAGAGCTCACGCCTCATTCATGTGCATGTCCCTGGGGGTTGCTTTAAAAAGATCAGTATGGATTCTGATCAGGACTGCACAGGGATAGGTTAGAGGACCCTCTCTTGTTGAACTCGGAATCCCCAATATCCAGAACACAAAAGACCAAGAAGTCAATAAATGTGACCAATCTAATGATTCCTACTCTTTGCAAGTACTTGAGAAGTTTGTACTCTGAAGCCTTTTAAGCATTCCCTAAGTGAGAATGCGTGACCTTATTTGTCTACACAAAGGTAAGCTAGCCTAATTTCCTTTACTGCAAATTCCAAATGTGAATTAATGAATTTACTCTGCTCCTAAAATGGAAAATATATAGTATAATTGTAATAAAATTCAAGATTGTGTTTATGTCAATTGTACCATACCAATATGTATATATGCACAAAAGCAAGTTTTACTCTGTCATGGGAAGTATATTACTTGTTTATCAAACACATTATAAATCAGTTTATGACAGTAGAGCATTATCCTAATATGATTAGAATCTTCAATAATTTTCTGTCCTGAGTTTGGTGGTGTTAACACTGGAAACACTAGTTGGTGCTAGATAAGCAGAATTTCAATGCTGCAGAGTCCAGAAATAAAATGCATTTATGAAACAGGACACTAATTCTGAGGCACTCCATTCAAACACACACACACACACACACACACACACACACACACACACACACTTTTCCTACTAAAATCTTTCATTCTTGAAAGTCAGAAACACCACAAATTCCCTAGAGCTAGGAGTTCCCAGCATTCCTGAATGAAACAATTAGGACATAGCCTTACAGGAGAAAGTTGTTGCCTAAAGCCTAGAGAAGGTCCCAAGGACCTGTTTAAAATAACTGCTTGTCTTTCTTTAAAGCACATTTACAAAACACAGTACACTCACAAATAACACTCACTGTGCTTTTTCATCTTAAACATCTGTTGTTTTCTTGGCTCTCTCTGAAGAGACACATTTCCTAAAACTTTTAATTTGCCAGTACTTCTCTAACGACAGAATAAAAACCTCATCCACATTGTAAAATGCTTAAATTAACTTTCTCATCATAGCTGCATATGTACTATCATTCATAAAATAGTTCATTCTGATCCATAAATCCCCAGCACATGGAAATCATACTTCCAGGGAACAGCAGCATCTTGTGTTTCCCTAGCATGTAGTTCACCAAGAGGAGAAAGGACAAGAAATTAGGAGGAAAAGGAGAACTGACCACAAGACCATGATAAAAGTCCGATTCTGGGAAGGCATTGTCATGGTGCTTTGACAGTAAGCAGGCCTGGGGGATGGAGTAGAGTGGTGGTGATAGCAGCTGATAATAGCTGCCAGTAGAGTTTGGCACTTTCTAAGTGTCTGATACCTAACAGACAAGGCAGGAGGAGCTGGTATCAGAGAACATGGATGGTGATAAAGATAAAAGAGGTGAAATCATGTCTTTAGAAGATCACAAGATTCAAACACTAATAGTTTATGCACCAGGAACTGAAAAAAAAAAAAAAAAAAAGCGAAATAAACTAAATGGAGGAGACCAGTACTGAAATACACACATCCAACAGAAAACATTTTACTTTTCCACTTAAGATCTTAAGAGCAGGTTCAGTTCTCAATCTCTGGCTCTTCTGGTCTATAAGAAGAAAAACAGCACAAGTGGCAAATGTTGTTCATCCTGGTCAACTTTTATTTTCATCTCTTCTTTCTTCTTTCAATAGTAATCCATTTACAATCTCCAGTTTATCTTTATAGATCCCTTTTCCTATGCAATGTTTTTTTTTTTTTTTAATTTGGCTGTAGTAAGCTCTGGGCAGGGATGTCAGATCTCCTGTTTGACATACTTGGGGACTTTAACTTGTCCTTTCTCCAAATAGTTCTCTCACTGTCCTGGTCCCTCTCCCAGCCCTCACCCCAGGACGCTGTGCCCCCAATAACAACAAGCGAATTCCGCAGGGAATCATGCAGTTGATTCCACAACTGGTCATCAGGTTGCCCACTTAAACTTTCAAACAGCCCCCCTAAGCCCCCTTTGGCTGCCACCCTGAGAACTTCTTAAACCATTTCAAGAAACCTGCAAGTTCATAGGAGTCTCCATGGAGATTCCTTTGTGAAATGGACAGATGAACTCTGGAAGTATGCACAGAAAAACCAGGGCAGAACCTCTCGGCGCAGGAGGCATCTGGCAAGGAGGAGAGGATTTATAAGCTTGGCCACTTAAGGCTGCAGCAAGCAAATTTACTCCAGAAGTAGCTATGGCTAATTCACAAAGCCTTGCTAGTCACTTACCCGGATACCAGGACCTCGCCAGCCTCAGCTCAGCACTGCCCTGGACTTCCCACTCCCTGGCCCCCTGCGCCCTCTAAGATCACAGTGATTGCTGTCTATCCAGATCCCCCAGAGTGTCTGAGCAGCCGGTTAGGCTATCGCTGCTCCTTCTCTGCTCCCTAATGTTTGAAGATCTGTAACTGAGAGGATGGGATGCCTGCGTTATCTCCGAATGCTGCACAAGCTTCCTGCATTCCCACCCCCAACCTCACCCCCACCACAGGGAAAAGCTGAGCTGCCTCTTCAGAGCCAGCGACCACCAGAGAACTTAAGTCAAAAAGACCAGGTTGGCGCTTTGGTTGGCCAGGAGGCCGGGAGCCCAGGTGACACAAGAGAAACCTCGGAGGGCGCAGCGTGGGCTCTTTCCTCTCCGCCTCCCTTCCACTCCACTTCCTGGGCTCAGAAGGCTGGCAACTGCCGCTGCCAATGCCAACTCCAGGGCAAGGAGGGAGCTAGGTGATCGCCCCCCCCCCCCCTCTCTCTCCTGCTCCCTGCCCACCGCTGCTCTCCCAAGGGTGCCCAAGGCTCCGGACATTTATTTGAAAGCTCAGACGCTTTAAATTAAAATGTCAGAGTTATAAACCGGCCGGTTTCCCCGGGGACTTTCGGGTTTGGTTGGAGCGAGCAGTCCATCTCCCCAGAGCTCAGAGGTTCTAAGTTTCTCCGTGGCCAGCTGGGAGGGAGACGCCTTGGAGAGGCTGTGGGTGCGGAGGCACGCACCCCGGGCCTGCAGCGGGCTGGGTCGAGAGGGCCCAGGGGGTGGGGGTAGCGGTAGGGTTGGGGTTACGTGTCTCCACTCAGACCTGAGCAGCAGCCCAGGGGCACCAGCCGTGAATCCTCGGCCTTAATGGACACGTTTCCTTAGCTGAGTGCCTTTCCGCGCAGGAATGCTCAGAGACTCACCCAAGACCCTGCAACCCCAGACATGGCCCAGCGCGGGGAGCCTCCGCGCATCGGGGCGCCCCTATGCACGTACACCGCACACCGAGAGTGTCCACACCTCTGGTGCACAATATTCAACAACGTGTGCATGGGGGGCAGGAAGTGCCAAAGACACCCCAGGCGCCCGCGTGCCAGGCGGCAGATGCATGTCCACACCCCGAGGGTCCCCGCTCCATCCGTGCCCATCTCGGAAGACAGATTACACATAATCACCAAAGCTTCTGGACTAGTTGGGAAAGCGGGGTTTTAAGTGACTTCAATGAGCCTCGTGGAGCGCACCGGAGGCTCCTTGAGGAGAACTGGGGAGGGAGAGAGGGAGACGGAGGGAAGGAAGAAGCCAAGAGAGGTGGCCTAGGAGCGCGGCGAACCCCCTTACCTTGGGCGGCCGAGCCCGTGCCGCTGGCGCTGAGCAGTGCCAGGGCAGGCAGCACCAGCATGGGCAGCACGTATCCCAGTCCCAGTCCGCAGCGGGCCGCTGTCGCCCGCAGACTTCTCCTCATCGTCGACCGAGGTGGGCAGGGGGGAGCCACACCGACCGACGCGCGAACCAACCGCGGAAAGCCCCGCCGGGCAGCAGCAGCAGCCGGGTCCGTGCCCCGCGCAGCAGTCCGGAGAAGAAATGATGATCACCAAGCGGCGCACTCCACTTTCTCCAAGGGCAAGGGCCAAGGGGGGGTGGTCGGAGACGCCGAGGAGGAGTTGGGAGGACCCTCCTGCGCGGCGCCTTCTAACGGGAGGCTCAGCGAACCGCTGCTCTGCCCCCTCCGGGAAGTCGGGGAGACGCGAGGCGGCCCCTCGGCGGGCGCTCCTCCCCAGCAGCAGCCGCAGCTCCTCCGCGCGCTCAGCCCCGACTGACTGCTCTCCCAGTCCCCTCGCCCGCGCCCAACACTCTCAGGCACCGGCGGGCGAGGGGAGGGGAAGAGGGAGGAGGAAGAGAGAACGGGGAGGAGGGGGGGGAGTGGAGAGAGAGAGAGAGAGTTGGGCGCAGTGAGGCGCTCCGCTCTCCAATCTCAGCGTTCTCACGGCGCTCGGAGACAACCCGATTGCAGGCTGTGAGGCCAGGGAGGGTCACCTCCCAGTGCGGGGCGCCTGGCTGCTCCGAGATGTTCCCGAGGAGGCAAGGAGGGCGCAGCCCAACTCCGATGGGGGGTAAGCGGCGCGGGAGCGCGCCCGGCCTTCTTATGTAAGCTGCTAGGGTTGCGGGGGAGGGGGGATGCTCGCCGGGTGCGGGAGGTGGAGACGGGCTGTCGGTTTCCCTCGGAAGTCGGGGCGGGAGAGACCCGCGGGAAGAGGCGGCCACGGAGATGGGGAGCGCGCCTGCCGCCCGCGGGGCGCCAGACCGGACCCCGGGAGCGGAACGGCCACTTGGCCGCGTCTCATGGAGCCCGGCCCACCGCCCGCCAGCTTCGCCACGGAGCCAGCAAAACCTGAGCCAGACTCCCTCCCAGGGCCTGGACTCGGTCTACCACTTCCAGTCTGGAGATTGATGAAGCCGGGCTCGGGCTGGAGCTGAAATCCTGATCGGCGGGGAAGAAGGCAGGAAGCTTTTGCAGTGCCCCAACCAGACCGGCTGCAATATGGGGATGGTGTGCTCCACTTAGAATGCTTTCTGCTCTAGGCGCCTATAACCTCTCTGTAGTGGAACAGAAACTAAAAGCTCCAGGAAAACGAATGCTTTACCAGAGCTTTACCTGCCTGCATCTTGGCGAGATGATACTGATGACAGGAGAAACTCCCAGAAACAATGCACAGGATTTGTAGGGACCCACTTAAAAGTGGTGGTGGAACCCATGACATGTTTTCCAAACTCTTAATGGTGTGGGTAAGGACTCAAACTGCTATGCATTTTTACCCCTCCACCTCCCCATCGCTTTTCTTTTTCTAGGGAAGAATTGGCTGGGCAGCTAAGCAAGAATGTAAAGATGGGTGGATAAAATAAGGAAGGCTAGACAAAAGGAAAGTGATTGCTTTTTTTTCCTTAAAGGTTAATAGGCACTTGCACACCTAACATTCTGGGAAGAAGAAAACCACTTCCCTGAATGAGCACATTTTTTTAAGCTAATAATAAATAATGTATCAGGAGAACTTAAGCTCTTTGGGTGCCAAGGAAGCAATGGGTAAATACACAGTGAGAAAGGAAGCTTTCTGTCTACTCTTGGCTGTGCTCATAACTGGCTCTGTCATTCTGGACAAGTCAGGTAAACTGCATGCCTCGGTTTCTTCATCTGTGAAGTATTTTCTGAGATGGCTTCATAGTTCTTTTCAATTCTAATATTCCACGATGCTGCCTGCCAACCTCCATCTAAACCTCAGCTCAATAAAACATGTCTTGGATGAGTCTGCTAGATCTGAACAGGTCATCCTCTGTAAAGATATTGACAGATCTAGCCATTCCCATTTCTATGCTAAAACCTCTTTACTCCCTGTAGCTTCCCCATACCAAGGGATCATGATATTTTGGTAAGAGTGTATTGCTGGTACCAGACTGGCTGGGTTAATTCTTAGCATATCTTGTTCCTAATTGAACAAAAAAGCTAAGTACCTCAGTTTTCTAACCTGTAAGGTAAGTCTGGTAGCAATAACTACCATATGGTTTTGTAAGAGATAAATGAGTTAAACGTATGCTAAGTGTCTAACACATAAAATGGTTAGCTGCTGTTCTCACCATCGACCCAGATTCCCATCAGCTGCATGCTGCAATGATGAATATGTTCATATCTGTGCTCTCCAAAATGGTAGTCACTTGACACATGTGGCTACTGAGCACTTGCAGTATGACTAGTGTGGCTGTGAATTTTAATTTTATGCAATTAATTTTAATTTAAGTAGCCACATGGCTAGTGACCACCATGGTGGGCAGTGCATTTAGGCCACTCATAACCTGTCGTTAATTTTGAGGATGACATCACCAGAGAGGATTATAATTATATTCAATATTTGTCTTTACAGTTTTTCCAAGGACAGCAGTAGTAAGGAAGAAACCCCCACATTTATCACTATCATATTAACACTATCTAAAAGTTGTTTGATTGTTTGCTTACAATTCAAATGCCTATCTCTCCTAATTAGAATTAAACGGTTTTTAAGGCAGAGATCTTGTCTTGCTCATCATTTCATCCCCAGATCCTAACATAGAGCTCAGTATATAGTTGGTGTTCAATTATTATCAGTTGATAGAATGTCAAAAAGGCTCAATAGGAAAGAACCCTCAAAATCTAGTTAGTTAAACAAAATTAAATTGTCAATAATCCTGTTTGGGGGCATTGAAGTGCTCAATGACAGATACTGCATGAAAATAATCCTTTAAAAGAAAAGTAAAAGAGAAGAAGAGAAGTAGTTCAACAGTGGCACTCAGCTGCAAGGGGGCCAGAGAATGGTCAATAGAGATGAAGTGGAAAAGGGAGGGGGAGGGTAACAGCACCAGGACTAGGACAGGAAAAGGACCAGCAAATAGATCAGCTTTGCCAAGCAGTTTAGTTTCCTATAATCAATGGTCACTCATAAAACTTTCCTTGACACATCCTCCCATGGTTTCTTTTTCTTTTTCTCTCTTCTTCATGAAAGATATAACGCAGTGTTGCTTAGACTTCTGAGTGTAGAATTGCTAACTAGATCTGAGTTAAATTGCTTAAAAAGACCTTCCCTGATCAACTACCTTAAATAGCACTCACCTCCCTTGCTCAATTGTATTCACCTGGTCTGATTTTCCATCCAACACACCTACATATAGGTGTAGGCAGACATACGTGTAAACATGTGTCTATGAATATGTATGTACTCTCCCATAGTATGCTTCTCAAGGACAGGGATTTTTTTCCTAGTCATTTCACTACTCTATCCCCAGAACCTTGAAAACTGCCTGGCACATAATAGATGGTCAATAAACATTTATTCAATATTAAGTGGAAGAATCAAAGCCAATAAATTGAAAAACTGATGTAAGTCATTTAATAAGAGTTATTTTACCATCCCTCCAAGACAAACTTTCAAATTATGAATATGTTTTTCTAGTTGTTGAATAAAAATCAAAATTTGGGTAAATATTTACCAAAAATGAATTTAATTATTAATTTTTCAGGGTTGGAAAGCTGTATGTGCTTAAGGTACAGACATGAAATTTATCTTGCTCTGGAAATTTTTTTTTTAAAGCTTAATTTTAATCCATGTACCAGGGCTTTCTTTTTCTTGGCTGCAGTGAGTGGAGAATTAACTCTGGGATAATAAATCCCAGTGACAGGTGCTAATGGGAATTAAGCATGCAAATCCCCTGCATATCCCTCCAGTAATCGACACCAAAAAAATTATGCTATTTAGCATGGAGGCTGCTTACTTATGATATTATTTACCCTAAACCAGTATGGAAAAAGTTTCCAGCTTAAGATTTAAGAAATAAAAAGAAATAGAAAATATATCTTAATTATAGAAATATTTTTTTTATTTTATCACTCTCATGTTTGATTTCACACTTTTTGTATTTTATATATTTTTAAAAGGAATCATCATAGCAGGAAGTGTAGGAGGAGGATATTTGTGAATATGAATAAGATGGTGATGAAGAAACTCTTATCCAAATTAGGAGTTGGAGGTAAAATTACTGATAGACATCAACTAAGGAGAGCCAGATGGTCTTGGGTCAATTGGTTCAATCCCCCTTCTCTGCCTCAGTTCCCAAAAGGGAATTTGGCCTGCCATAAACATATACACTCTGGGGCTTTATGCTTTATATTAATTGTTTTAGACAAGGCCCTTTTGGTTGAAAGTGATAGAACCCCAGCTCAAACCAGTATAAACAAAAAAAGAGAACTTACTGCTGGACATAACTCAAATGTCATATATTAAAATATCTATATTAACAAAGGCTAATATTTATTGACCATGCTCTGTGTCAGACACTGTTTTAAGTTTTTACTTGTGATATCTCACTTAAATTTCAAAGTGAAGATTAAACTGAAGTGCTATAATCTTCCTCATATTGTACACAAGGAAACAGAATGGTTAAGTAATTTTCCCAAGTCACAAACAGTTCATATTTATGAATGCCAGTCTAATTTCAGAGATCATTTTCTAGACCCAAGAACTGAAATACCCCCACTCACAGGACTTGGTTCCTCCCTCCCATTCCCTTCAATCTTTTGGTTCTGCCCCTTTCTCTTTTGAGTTCATTCATAGACCTGTGATGTCCACACTGGGATTCCTGGCACTTCCAGATTTATGATGTCTTTACCATGATTAGTCTCAGCACAGAGAGCATTTTTTTTCCCAGAGAGCAAACACAATTCCAGAATTATGTTCTTGGCTTGTCTTGGGTTGCATACCCTTACCATGGCCAAATGGTTGGAATATACTCAATGGCAAGGTCTGGATCATGTGCCATTTCTGCAAGTGGAAACTGGAATTGAGAGTGGGAAGAACAGCTTCCCTCAAAGTAAAATCAATATGGTGAAGAGGAGGAATAGAAACCAAAAGAATGGATGTAGGGCTGACAAATATGTTTTTTCCA